TTTTCAATCCATTCATCTGTTTGTGGACATTTGGGTTGGTTCCATTTCTTAGCAATTGTGAATAATGCTGCAATAAACATTGATTTGCAAGTGCTTTTCCAATTCAATGTTTATTGATGTGCAAGCGCTTTTGGGCATTCGCCTGTCCTTTGGGTAGATACCCTGAAGTGGGACTGCTGGATCAAATGGTAGTTCTATTTGTAGATCTTTGAGGAACCTCCATATTGTTTTCTGCAGTGGCTGGAATTTACATTCCCATCAACAGTGTAAGAGAGTTCCCCTTTATCACAACCCCACCAACACCACTTTTTGTATTTTAATCTTCATTATTCTGACAGGGGTTAGGTGGTATCTCATTGTGGTTTTAATCTGCATCTCTGTTATGATGAGGGATGCTGAACATTTCCTTATATGCGTTTTGGTTGTTCATATATCTTCTTAGAGATATTTTTGTTTCCCTCATTTTCCCGTCTTTTAATTGGGTTAATCTTTTTTTTTTTTTTCCTGGGTAAGGCGCTTGAGTTCCCTGTGTATTCTGGTTATCAGTCCTTTGTCTGAGGCATATTTTACAAAAATAATCTCCCATTCTGAGGGTTGTCGAGTCTCACTAATTACTGTGTCCTATGCTGTGCAGAAACTTCTTAATCTGATATATTTCCACTTGTCTATTTTACGGATTATTTTCTGTGTTTTGGGAGTCTTATATAAGAAGTCTTTGCCTACCCCAATGTCTCCCAGAGTTTCCCCAGTGTTTTCCACCAGTAGTTTTATAGTTTGAGGTCTTAGGTTCAGATCTTTGATCCATTTTGAGTTGATTTTTGTTAATGGTGAAAGATGGAGATTCAATTTCATCTTTCTGCAGCTGGGTACCCAGTTTTTCCAGCACCATTTGCTAAAGAGGTTTTCCTTTTCCTAATGGATTGACTGGTATCCTTTGTAAAAAAAATCAGTTGGCTGTATGTTTTGGGTGTTTTTCCTGGGGTCTCTATTCTATCCCATTGGTTCACCTGTCTGTTTTTGTGCCAATACCATGCTATTTTGATTATCACAGCTTTATAGTATATTTTGGGGCCAGGGAGTGATATGCCACCCACTCCACTCTTCTTGCATAGGATTGCTTTAGCAATATGAGATCTTTTATGATTCCAGACAAATTCTATGATT